CTCACATGCAAGGAAAAGGTGGTCCCCAGGAAGAAAGATGAAATGCAAAGCCTAGTTAAAAGAAGTATCAGCATGGGCACGCCGAGAGCAGTCGAGTGAGCTTTTGTGCTGCCAAGATCTATGCCCAGACTACTGTAATTATATGTCTAATCTGGGCAGAAGAGGGGCCAGGTGTAAAGACGGCAGCTCAGCGAATATACCGCTCTTCCATATGTTGTCGGTTACCTGCTGCTTCTTTCCTGCTGTGGTTTAGCTGCTTGAACCCAAGAAAATATGGAACAGATTTGAGGTACGGAAACAGACGTCATCACTTAACACCTGGCCAGTACTGCCAAGATGATGTGTGAAAAAATATCAGGAAATGTAACATTACATGATAATATCTGCTGTTATTGCAGTGATGAAGACCCGTTTTGCTTCTATTTTGATGCTGAAACCAAGCGAATGAATTTAACCGGTTTGACTGCAGTGAAGGTATATCTAGGTTGATGGGATCGTAGTGGAACAAAGATCTAAAATATATTGCTTAGATTATTTATAAATATGTTTATGCTAAATTCTCATTATTTTTTTTAAACCACAACTTTAAGACATTGCAAAGTAAAGGTTACAACTGCTCTGCAGTAAAAGCCTTTTTAAATATTTTAATGTACACTTGTCTTCCTGAGGTCACTTATTCATAAATATCCTACAAGGTCCTATAAATACAGTATACTGTAAATTCTCAATGTGTAATTTTTCACAATCACTAACAGTCACATTTAAATTTCAATATCATGTTCTACTGAATTAGCAATAATGAAAAACATAAATATTGAAAGCTCGGGATATTAAATGGATAAATTATTAGCGAGACATTAAAATAGTCTTCACATCCTTCTTTCATTACAGTATTTACTGTACGCATTACATATTTCCCTTTCAGGTGTGGTACAGTGCAGGATTTTCTGGGACAATTTCTCATTGTAAATCTTTGACTAGCTGATCAGCTAATCCAATTTTAGCTGATTTTATTTAGCTTTTTGTAAGAAACTTTAACAATATTGTTTTCTTTTCAGATCTGCTACTCTCTAATGCCGTTGAATTGGGTTTTTTGTCGATAATGGAAGAAGAAATGTGAATGGAGTTTACATTTTACTGTTTGCTTTGAATTTTTTAGAGCAATTAGCCTGTTCAGCATTAGTAACTGTGGATGATTTTCCGTATGTGTTTTTTGTGAATAAAAGCATACAGATTTTTAAACTAATACTTTTTTCTAATGCAATGTTTTCATCATGCTGCAGATTAGAATGAGGTTTAAATGTTCGAAAAGGCTGAAGGCTTACCCTATATAGAAGTAGAGTAGTAGAGCTAACGTGTCTGTTGAGAATACAGTTGCATTTTAAACTACCTTATTACATTTCTTTGCCTTAGGCTTTATTATTTGATTATTAATGCCATTATCTGTCTCAACCAAAAATATTTAACATAAGTAAGCTCTCTTCTGTGGCATTTTTTATACAATGGTGGTTGGTGTTAATCCTTAAACACTGAAATTAAAATCACGTTTTTATAATTATAATCTGCTGATCAAGAAGAAAATAGAATGAATACAGTATTTTGACATTTTTAAATATGAAGCATTAATTAACTCTGTTATAATATGTTGTAAAATAAAAAATAAAAAAAAATTCCCAAAGACAATACAGGTTATTATTAAATAGACGGCTAACATTAGAATCAATTTCTAAATTTAATTTACTAGGCCTTCCCCATAAAAAAAACAAAACATTGGCAGATCTTTGGATGTGGAATTTATATAATGCATGATAATAATAATCATAATCATATTAATTGAACTTTATTGATCTAATATTGGATATATTCAGCTCTCATTTAACCCATCCCCTTGGTTAGCATTGGGCTACCATTGTGTGGCGCCTGGGGAGCAGTGTGGGGTTAAGGGTCTTGCTCAGGAACCCAGAGTAAAAATATACAATAATAAAAATATGTTTCCTATGTTTACCTTTAGGTTTACATTGGGATATATTGGCAATTTCTGAATAAAAGTTAATAAAAAAGAAAATAAGAGCATAATGGAAAGATTCAGAAAAGCCAATTCTTCAGTGCTATAGGTGAAAAACATAACATTGAGTTTGCATATCTTATCTAAGCCATGATTATAAAGTTAGAGGAGATTATAATTAACTAACTAAATTAAATAAATTCTAATTAGAGTAAAAGAGAATTTGATAACCTACTATTACCATTTTTAAAAATTTAATATTGCTTCCAAACTCTTGGCCTCTCGTGTAGCTTGTTTTTCTTATTTTTTAATACCTTTTGTGGATACAAAAGCAACCACTGTCTGTTTGTCCTACTTGCAGAAGGATTTTTCACTGATATGTTAAAACTGTTGCCAAAACAGAGATGAAAGTCATTTTGGCTTAAATACTTTTTTTTTTTCTTTCTTTTTCACATTTCTTGCCACAATTCCCATTCTAATGCAGAAGCTTCCACATAATAATCATACTGTAGGCGCACATGTAAATTCCTTCTTTGAGGAGTGGGTGTTTAAACACAATCATAACAGTATGATAAAGACATCCTCATTGAAAAAAGAACAATTGGAGGCTCTGAAATGGCTGAATTTTTTTTTTTTTTTTTGCCTTTGAAAAAAGGAAATGGCCTTAAAATATGTTTATATGTTTATCATAGCTCTTTTATTTTAATAAATTTTTTAAGATTTCAAGTCATTTCATCACAGTAAAAAAAATGAATAATAACAAAAAAAAAAACTCCAACTTGGCTTGACTCTTTTCCAGCTGCAGCATTGTTTGGACAGAATGACAGTGATTCAAAAATCATCATGGAAACACAACAGGGTTTCATCACTGCTGAGGAGATTATCGGCCCGTGAAAAGCTGGCTGTAAACTGTTTAGGGGAGCTGCTCTACAAAATAGTCTTGGAATCTGCTGATGGCTTGGACTCACACAAAAACACATAAACACAAATGCATGTTACACAGCACTCTAGGAGCCGTTGCTGTTTGCCAGGTTTACTAATTAAACAAATTTACTTGGCCGGCAAGCTTGATGAGAAACCAGACTGCCTCATTCAACCTGCTGGAGTTGCTGCATTTTAAACTCGGACACATAAACATACCTACAAAAACCAAAACATTTCCATTACTTGCTACTTCTAACTATTTTCTCTTGTTGTTTTTTTCCTTGTTGCAATAATTATCATTACTTGCCGTAAACCTCAAGAGAATTTTTAAAAACATGTATCTTTGTGTGTGTTTGCTGTAGAACCAGTGAGAAGTACAAAATAGCTAAAAAAAAAAAAAAAAATCAAACAAGAGATAGTAATGATGCTGCCATGAATGTTGATATGATGAAAATTGCTCGAAACACCTTGAAGGGAAAGTTGTTGATCTGTGTCTGATGTCGAGATGAATATTGTGGTGAAAATAGGCCAACAAGAGTAAGACGACTGTTTTCTCTGTTGATTGTAATGACAGTGCTGCTCCTGCTGCTGAACGCTATATTACAAGCTTAAGAGTAACTGTTGGGTGAAAACATCTTTTTACCTAAAATTCTCCTGGGATTTGATCTTTGATTTTTCCTGGAACAATCAGAGAGTTGTAAGCACAAAAAAAAAAAAAAGGTTTAGAAATGATGTATTTTAAAAAGAAGTACTTCTATAAGGCTTGGTCCGTGAAATCAATGTAAGGATTAAAGGTACGTTGGTATATGGCTGACTTTTGAAAACATAGAACGTCTGCTAAAGTGAAACATATAATTTTTATTTTTTTTTATCTAGCATGGTGTTTCTCTGAAAAGTGTCTTTTTTCTTCAAGTGCACTATTAGTAAGTTTATACATTTTGTGGACTTCCTAACGATGTCTGTATGCTACAGTAGCAAAATACAGTAAACGTAGGTCTTCCTTCAGTTATTTTTTTGACACTTCCATTTTTTTAGCGTTCTTTCTTTTATTTAGGCAATAGTAACTTTCCCTCTGCCATTTTCTAACTTTAAGATTAATTTGGCTTACCTGAATGTTATGTTATCTTGTCTTTGCTGTTTTGAAAGGAAACAGGCTTCGATATCATTTTGACAGAAAAAAATAGGGCCATGGATAACTAGTTTTTAAAAAATCCTCAACGCACTGATTCACCTAAAAGAGTGAATTATGAGTAAAAGACAGGCTTGTCTTTTAGACATTTGCATAGACATTTGATTTACTGAAGGGTATTTCTCATTACTAGTGGCATGGGTATTATTGCAAATGTAGCTGTTTTAAATCCAGGAAACTAAAGCCACATCTATTTCCTGACCTACTGACAGTAAGATTTTTTAAAGCACAGGCATGTAACTGAGTATGTACTTGCAAGAAAATAATTTGTACTAGATCATAGCTGGCTATTTCTGAGTTGGTGTGTTTATTTTGCATGTTGTTATTGAATTGCTTTGAACATGAACAAGGGATATGAGCTGTAAAATACAATGGCTGCATTGATTCCTTGTTTGTGAACACTGTCTCTTGGACTCTGCTGGGCTAATTCCCTGCTGGACTAATTTGTCTAATCCTCATGGTTTATATATAATGCCGGTGTAAGCAGGGAGGTTCTCTTGGGACTTTGTACTTTAGAGAAATTTTATTTAGCACTTCAACTTGTTTTGTTTGGGCTGGGGTTGTTGCTTGTCAGCTCATCATTGCATTGCTCATTGGTGGCCATTGCCTGATAACATTTAACTCACAGGTGTTGTTTATGGTGGTTTTACATCTCCACGCTCTGACTGCTCCTTCATGTTTACTGTTGCTAATGTCTCATGGTTCATCTATACATGCTGTGTATCTTGCTGAGACTACCCCATTGCAACTTTTCCGCTCACTCGCTCCAACTCCCACCTCTTTTCGCTGCCTTTCCCTTCCAAGTCGACCATTGCCTTTCACCCCGTCTGCTGACTTTCTAGAGCCCCATATCAGTCCCTCCTTTGTTTTTCTCTTTCTTAGTTCCTCCCAGCCTGACAGTCCCCCGGGGCAAGTCCCCCCTGGTGGCCCGTGAGGGTGACACAGTGGAGCTGGAGTGCCTTGTTTCAGGAAAGCCCAAGCCCATCATCCTATGGTCGCGAGCAGATAAGGAGGCCCCCATGCCTGATGGCAGCATGCAGATGGAGAGCTACGACGGTGTCCTGCGGATTGTTAATGTTTCCAGGGAGATGACGGGGTCGTACCGCTGCCAGACCAGTCAGTATAACGGCTTCAACGTGAAGCCAAGGGAGGCTGTGGTGGAGCTCATCGTCCAATGTAAGTAAATCCACTGTGGCTCTAAACTATGTCTCTTAAGTAAGATGCAAATGTGTTCTAATCTGTAACTTAGCTAAAACCTATGTGTTAGGTGATGTATTTCCGTTGTGTCTAGTGTGATAATTCCACTATGACCGAAATGTTAAGTTTCCTTATGTCTGTATTTTAACACCCTTCTAATGTTTCTCTTAATGGTGTGAAATAACTTCCCTTTTTTTACCCTTGTTAAACTACATCAGGTCTCTTTTAGAATATGCCACCTCTCAGAGAGGTGAAGAGAATGAATTTCTATACAGAAATCTTTGGGTATACATGTCACACTTGTTAGAAGTCTTTTGTTGTTACGGTGTGGGATCATGTCCAAGGAAGACTGAAGAAGTGCATGTTCCATCTCCAGGCCTCCCTCAGACAACCGACGGTTGATCATGCGGCTCATTGATAAACTCCTTCCCCATCTTTGATTGGTGACATTCAAGAATGGTTTAAGGGCTAATTACAAAGCAGCTAATTTATTCCCTCTAGCATTCATTGTGTCTTCATTTGTGGACATTTGAAAGGAACATCTTGAATGAGCAGCAGGGATTCAAAGTAGCATCAATCTCTCACAGCAAAAGGGGAGGTTTTCCTGTGATGAAGAAGGGGCGAAAGATAGCCAGGAAAGAAATAAAAGTGATCATGTATGGCTCTTACTCTTCTGTGGTAAGTGATTATAGCAACTGGAAAGACTGATTCTCCAAGGCTGCATAGTTGTTGTTTTTTTCATGGCCTACTTTCAGAAGTTAATCCATACTTTCTCCTGTTTTAACTTGCACATCTATTTTCTTCACTTAACAAATTGCCATCTAAAATTATGCAATTTCTTAATTGATTTAAACGTCTCTTGCAGAGTAATTAGGCATGGAAATGTGTGAGATTTCCACTGAGTGATAAACCTGTGTAACAATATAAAACAGAATTTAAAAAAGAGAAGCATCAATAACTTTTAATACTGTGGTTAAAACAATTATAACTTGGGTATGCAATTTTCTTTTAAAGATACCTATTTGCATTAGAGTTAATATAAAATGAGCTGGTTTAATGCCAAGTTTAAGCTCAATTTTGCAAAGTAGTGCTTCATGCACAATATTTCTCATCCCTTGAATTAATTTGCCAAAGCAATGGAGGCATCTTAAAACTAAGTAAGCTTGGCCATCCATCTATCCCTCCGTCTATCCATCCATCCATACATACATCCTCCCTCTGCGGAATCTGTGGGTGAGAGGCAACACTTTTCCATACATTTTCTACTGAGCCACTCCTCTACTAGGCACTTTTTGTGTTCACATGGTTTTCGTTTCAGGTAGTAAGGGGTAGCTAGCCTCAGGGTAGCTTAAGGCTGCTATGGCTTCTTTATCTGCCCCCCCTGATGCTTTCCCGACTCTGCATACAACTTTTTAATCTCCTATCCAATTTTTTTTTATGACACTGACTAAATATCGTAGAGACTCCAACTACTCAGGAGGAGCAGATCTCTGCAGATTTTGACTTCTGTCTCTGTTCCACAAACATTGAAACTATTTTCCACATTTGAATGGGACAGATTATGAAAAGTTATTAAAAGCCAATAAATAAAATAAAGACTTAGACTTGTATTGTCTTTTTGTATACACAGGGTGTATACACAGGGTGTATACACAGGGTGTATACACAGGGTGTATACAAAACGAAATTTCATTTTGTACAGCTTTCGTTACATTTCCATTACTTAAAGTGCAGCAGTGATCAAATGTAAACATTGTGGGAGAAAAAACATGGTGTAAAAAAAACATTGATATGTAAGTTCAGAGCATTAAATATATATGATGTAGTGGAGTGTTTTGTTTTGGTGTTGTCAGTGTGATGCAGGGTCTGTGACATGATTTAGATTTTTCTCAACAATTAAAAATAAAAAAAAACCAAAAGGCACAACTATAAAGCAAAGACCCACTTTAGGAGTCTGTGCAGCATCTCTAAAACTAGAACAGGTAGAGAATTTCTGTAGGCCTATATTAAAAATATAATGGGAACTACTTTTAAATAAAACTGTCCCAAAGCAATAAATGCAGTGGGACGGTTTATATGCTGGCAGAGGCAGTGATAGGTGATTCTCATAGGGGGATCTGAGTACGGATATGTTAAGCTTGTCAAGGTTTTTGTTTTTCTTTTTTTATAAAGAGGGGAGAGTGATACGCTGTACTTATTGCACTGTCTGCCCCTCGTTGTTTAGATTTTTTGTGAGGCTCAAAAGAGGATCTCTCTCTCTCCTGACGTTTGTCGATTTTCTGTCGAATTGGACATAGAAACAGATTCCCCTCTCTGTCAGATTTTCAATTATTCCTCTTTCTCCTTTAGTGGTAGTATGACATGTAAAAGGTATTGTATTTTTGTTACTTTGGAGGCGAGGGTGTAAGAGTTAGAGTTCTGGCTTTGGGCCACTAAACATTAAAGCAACTCTTGAAGCTGGACCAGCTAGAAGAGTGAGGTGCGCAAGAATGCTGTGACTCTTTTCCCTTCTGGGTCCTTTTTGCCTTCATATCCGTCTGTTGTTGCACAATTTCGTCCCTTACCTTTTTCCACTTCCTCACTGCCTCTGCAGTATCTAGACCCGTAGCTAGTTCTTGATTTTCCCTCTCGCGTTGTGCTTTTGGAATAACATAGTGCAGACCATGCTTGAAAATTGGGCATAAATCAGAAATATTTGCGACAAGCTCACTGCGACACACTGCTGTGGGAGTATAACCAGCCCTTCAACCAAGCTCAGTGGCTAACAGCTCAAAACATTAGAGACACCATAGTCAACCATATTCAACCATAGTCCAATAGTTGCCAGTGACCAGAATGATTGACATTGAACTGAAAGTGATGGCTGAGAATAAGTTCACATACAGTAAGGTTGTTTTAAATTTTCCAAATGTATTAGTCTTCCAAAACCCTGCCAGCCGAATGGGGAGAAAAAGAAGCTAAGCTGTAGTTTAACATGCCCCTCTGCAGCTTCTCTACAGTTACTGACCCATCATCTCATCCAAAACAGTGTCTTACCATGACCAAAATCGAATATACAAATAAAAATAGTGATCCAATTAAATTTAAAATAACTCCATTTGAGAGAAATTTAATTAAATGTTGCTTATTAAACATAATATCTCTTAACGTGTTTGTTCGTTAATATCTCCATCTATTACAATAAAATTTATTAATTTGGATTACAGAAACCTGGTCGCAGCAGCAGGATTATGTTAGCAGGAATGAGGCAACTCCTTCCAGCTATTTAAAGCTTTATATGCCTAGAAATCCTGAGAGAGGAGAAAAAGTAACAACAATCTTTAAGCCTAATTTACTAATTAATCATAAATCAGTTAATAGTTACAGTTTTTTTTGCAAATTTAACCCATAATTTATCCCATCCATATCGTAAAGCAAAAAAGCCACTTTTGTTTGTATCTTTACATTACCACAAGATCCTAACTCTCAAAATTTTGATCAGTTTTTGGACTTTCCATTTGATCTAGTATACTGAGAAAGTCATAGTGGGGGATTTTAACATTCATACAACATTGAAAGTGAAGCTAAAATGCAGCCTTCGATGCTATCTAAGGCTTGACTGACTTCATTAAGAATGTGGATAGTCCCTTGCATTCTTATTTTCATACTTTGGACCTTGTGCTGACAAAGGCATTGATTATGAAGAAAAAAACAGCATTTCCCAATTTTCAAAAATACCTTAACAGAGTTCTCCTACCCAAAAAAGGTTCCAGTTTAACAGATCATTATTAGATTATGCAGTAATGCATTTCACAGTAACCAACTGTTTCCAATTTAATATATCTCACCATGTATTTTACAATTACCTATCAGTTTATTTACCCTAATAGCAATTGAGTATTGTTCAATAATAACTCATGAAATCCATTTTTTTGTAAATCAGCTATCCACAGGAACACACTGCAGACTATTATATTGTATGGCACAAAATTTTCAAAATGATTAGTTGTCAAAGAGTTTATAAAATTATTTTAAAGAATTAAAAAAAAGACCCATTATGTGCATTGAGATACAATTATTAAGTGGACTTAGTGGTCATAAGGCATGATTTTGCAGGTTTATAAGTAATCCCCGTAGTTCCTGGGTTGATCCATATGAAAAAAAGAAAAAGAATTCTAGAATTTGAATGCATCCCATTGTCTTAATAGATGACTCAACATACGGTAAATAGATTAATAATGGCAAAAGAGCGTCGGAGCCGTCTTAGGTTTTGCACATTTCTTCTCTGTTCACAGAGAAATGTAATTAGCGCCTACGGAATAGCTAAAATAACTGCTTAGGCCGGCACTTCCAAACGTAGGAAAACACGGGAACAAAAACACTGAAGCGTTTNTATATATATATATATATATATATATATATATATATATATATATAATATACAAGAAAATATACAGGAAAAGCTCTCTGCAATATTTATAGAAGAAGAGACAATCATATTGCTGTAATTTTAAGTACATAATAAAAAAAGGAAGTAGATTTGCAAATACAATAATGGTAAGTGCATTTGAGGGCAAATGAAGTTGTGAGGGCTTTAAGATTTGAGATTAATTTGGTATTTGGGGTAAATGAAAGATCAGTTTCCGGTATATGTTAATTATGGAGTTAGTTTCTTTATCGTTTATATAATATACAGATTGCATTTACTTTTTTCATTTCTGTATCAAGCGCCAATAAAGAGAGTTTTGTTTTGTTGAATATACTTCTATGAATGTAAAATTTTCCAAATAATATTATAGATTAATTAGTTTTGCCAGTTACTTGTTGATTGAGTGTACTTCACTGTGGAGGGAACTCCCTGGAATGTTCTCAGAACCAAGTGAGAGAAATGGGACGGGCCCAAGAAATTTAAAGAATATGCCCTGGGCAATATTTAAACCAGAAATGGGCATTTATTTGATCATTATTAATGCGAAAATGATCATCATTAGAATTTGCTT